CGCTCGGGGTCCACGGGGTCAAGGAGCCCCGGGGAGGGTGCTGGTGGTGTCGCAGCTGGCGCCACAACCCCGGCGGTATTAGCGGCCCGATAAACATCCGTGAAGCGATTATTGCGTCCGTCCGGGGGCGGCGCGGGGGCGGCGCAGGGGCGGCGCAGGGGCGGCGCAGCCGGCACGTCACTGACTTCATCATATCGTCGCGCGTTTGCCGCACATGGCGCCACCGTCAGCTGCTCGTGAACCAGTCATCTACACGTGTTGAGTTATTAGCAGCCCGTGTTGTGCAGGGGTGGCTGACGTCGTGCTGTGCTGGGGCTTGCCTCCGGTGTCGCCCTGGGTGCCCCTCCCCCCACCCCCCGGTGCCACCCCCTGGTGCCACCACGGGTGCCGTACCCTCGATCCGCCCCGGGGAACAACATTCTGCTCTGTGCAGGCCTGGTGGGTCAGCGACATGAGGCTGACCTGGCCGACAGCACGACGTGAACCTGGACGTCCCAACCGAAATAATATGCAAATGTCATTCACACGCTCTGCCCCGCTTCTTGTCTCTCTCGCTCCCGCTCCCTCTGCCCTCTCGTTGTCTCTGAATGACAGCGCGGCGCAGCGCGTGTGTTATGATTAATGTAGTTCTGAGCAAATTGTCTAGAAAAACATGTCGTCGCCGATCCCCCTCTGCTCTGCAACCCTCCGCGGCGACGACAACCCCTTGTCGCCCTGCCGGCCCGGCCGGATCACCCTTAACCCCTCCGCTCCCATGCACTCCCGGCACCCTTCCCTCTTTCCATATCTCTCTCTTTCTCTCTCCCTTTCCCTCGCTCGCTCGCTCTCGCTATCCTGTGGGCGGCAGCTGATGCATCCCCGAGCGCGAGCAGTGCGCTATGCGTTTCGCTCCATTTAGGCGAAATGTGTAAGCGACCCCCCGGCCGGCCAGGAAGGGAAGAATATCCGCCTGGAAAAACCTTGGCACCCTCTTTTTAGGTCCTCGTATGACCCTCGGCCCCGCCCCGCCGGGCTTTGGGGCTGCAGCCCGGGGAGATTTGGATGGAAATCCGCCAGCAGGGCCCGGCTCGCCCGGCGTAGCGCGCAGCGGCCGGGGGCGGCGGCGGCCCTGCCTGGGACGCGTGCGGCTCAGATTTCGATGAAAATTTGTGTACGGGGAAGTTAAGGAGGGGTGTTCATTGGCTCGTCAGGGCGGAATGCGTGTTTGTGACGCGGCCAGGCGAGCGCGGCGGGCGCGGACCCCGAGGGGGATGCAGGCTCAGGAGGGGAGGGCGCGGCGAGGGCTGCCTTTTGTCTGCTGCGCTGCGGTCTGGGAGCCGGGCAGAGCCGGGCAGGGCCGGGCAGAGCCGGGGCGGGAGGCTGCTCGACCAGTGTGTCGTGTTTTGTTGTGTTGTTGTTTTTGTTGTCGGTGGCGCTCTTGTTGTGTTCGTTGATTGTGCCTCGCTCGGTGCGTTTTGACGCGCTTTGCGAGCGCGGAGCTGCCGGGAGCAGCCGGGAGCGGCCGGGAGCGGCCGGGAGCGGCCGGGCCGACAGTGGGACCGAGTTATCATCGCGTCCAAAGTCAGTTTTCGCTTTCCCACGAGCGGCGCGGGGCGGTGCGGTCCGCAAAGAACGTGGTAAAAACAATAATGCTCTATTGTCGGCATGCCTGATTTTTAAAGAAACCCTTTCAAAAACTACTAAAGTTT